CCGATACATATCCGATCTTTTGACATGCGACTTCAGTCTGAACAGCCAAAGCGCATTCATCCACCTACACGTTATCAACAAGCAACAAACGTCACTATTCTGCGCTGAAGCAGGCGGAAACCGGAACTGTAAAATCGCCAGGTGCTCAATGCTCGCGTCCATGTTTGGACAACTTCCGTAAACACAGAGCACGCTCGCTGCGGTTGACGCATGGGGTTGACGTCGTCGTGTCTCCAGTGCGCATGCGGGACACTTTCGGGCCGTTTACCGTTCACACTGAAGTCACAGACAAGTCGCATTTAATTGTAAATGTGAACGACCTCGCAAAAACATCGGATTTCACAAAAAAATCGGAATTGAGCGTTAAGCCCTGCAGTCTGAACGTAGCCTAACTGTTCCTCGTCTAAGGCTTATGTGTACTCAAACATTTTGCCACTGCTAGAGTAGGTCTCTGGGTTTTTCATTTTGTAAATCAAAAAGGTTGGAGATCCTAGTAAGAATACGTGTTTTAAATAAATTAAACAAATGAATTCTCTTGCACAATTAAAAAAATAAAAAAAAAATGCTGAAAATACATTTATAATCACTGGCTGTTGTCCAATAAATTAATATAGCACAAACTTCCATGTATTTTGATCTGGCATTCATACTACTCGACCAAACCAATATATTTTCTTTTACGTTGTGCCCTAAGATAACTCTGACTTCTTCTTATTATTTCTGTCAGAAAAGTTTTGTCTCCAAAGAACAATACTTGAGACAGATTTAGAGCCGAGTAAATGCGGCTGGACTTACAATGAAAAACATGAACTTACGACACAAACCACGGTCACATTTTCATAATTCAGCCGTGGCCTCATAAACCTGGACTCGCGCTCCTCTTTTCCTTTTTCTTTTCCTCTGCTCCTCTGTATGCAGATGAGAGGAGGGGCCGTTATAATGGCGCTGTATTAAGGAGTGTATTTTACTACCTCGACCTTGGGAGAGACAGCCACGGGCCCGGAGAGATTACACCGAGTTTATAGAGCCCCTCCCACTCCTCCGCAAATGACCAAACTCATATGGGGCTTTTTAATGAACTACGGTCTCCAGAGGGGGAGGGGGGGGCTGCCAAACCAGGTCTGACGGTCAGCGTGGAGAGAGGGGGAGGGGGAAGTGCTTGGACGTTCGGCTCTTATATGAGATCCGAATCTTTTGAATCCGTTCAGTCGTGATTGGACTCACGGCTCCTTCAAAGAGCTCCTCAAAAGACTGGGTTTTTATATTATTTATTTATATGACAAAAGCCAGTTTGAGAATTAATTTTAACTACAAACTAATCAAAGAAAGAGAGAAATGACCAAGACTCAGAACCCAGAAATGGTTTAAATTGAGAGTGGGAGTATGTCTCTATTTGAAAATATGAAATTCTAAATTAAATGTTGCACTACAATAATAATAAAAATAAATAAGTAAATAATAAAAATAAATAAAATACAAATAAATAAAGTAAAAATAAAATTAAATAATAAAATAAAAATAATAAACGTAACTGTTACTATAATGCCATTTTTTTTTTTTTTTTTTTTTTTCCCAATGGATAAAGTTCTCGCTCACTGTTCCTACTAGAGATGCAACAATATTCAATATTATATCTAATCATTCGATACTGGTCTCACGATTCGATACACGTGTTTGTTCGATACATGTGTCGATATGCACGTGTCCCTCCATCCGCAGTGTTGTCGGTCATTTATTTTGGTCCTAAAGAGAAACAGTTACTGCAGTGTCCTTGTCAGATGTGGCAAGAAAACAGGTCGATAGAGTCTTACAGCTGAAATATTCTAACAGAGGTGAGTTTTATCTTTCAGTCACTTTTTTATTTTACGTTGATAGACCCAGGAATGACAAAGTTATTAACTTTTTAATAATTTAGAATCACTTTTGGCTTTAATCAAATGTGGTGTATTCGCACATACGACGCGCGACACAACTCGCAACATACACAATCTTTTTCTTAGACTCTATCGCATAAATTTGACTCAGAAAACGGTCTGTCGAGACATTTCTATGTAATATAACATAGTTTTAGTGTCACAGATTGTAGCGGGGCAGTGTGGGAGGAGCTCATTAGCAGAAAAAAAATTCCGAGATGTTTTTTTTTGGTCTTAAAACATATCGAAATCAAATCGATACCGTGACCCGTGTATCGAGATATGTATTGAATCGTGGGAAAACCATATTGTTGCATTCCTAGTTCCTACTCTGCATTGGTGCTGGTTCCAGTGTAAAAATGTGTAAAAACTGGAAAGAAAAAAGATTTGGTTCTTTTAAAAATGAGATACAGATTGTGCACTTTAAAGGTTGTATAGAGGATTTTCCAAGGAAAGAGAAGAACAGCAACTCCACAGCTCCCTAAGTAGAAACGCCTCCTCCCGCCTCCTCCTTACACTAGAAATCACGCTTGTTTACAGCCGGTGTGCGTTCAGAATTGCTTTTGAAGTTTCCTGTCCAGAAGTAATTTAGCGACCGTCGCGTCCGTCTTTAGACCCTTCGCCTGCTTCAGTGCGCGCCATCGCTGGAAGAATCTCCAAGCATCACTTTAGTTTGGCTTCGCTGCTTTTCTACTTCTCTTCTTCTTTCAGCGAGCTCAAAAATGGACTTTCTTTTGCGGCGAACTGGTCGTGGATTTTTGTCTGCCATTGCAACAAACTTTGTACAAACTGCGAGGAAGCTACAGTTAAAAAAAACCCACTAAGAACAGCTGCGTTGGTCAAGTAAACAGCATCTTGCGAATATTGAATGCGTGAGAGGTGAACGTAAACCACGTAATCCCAGCGAACCGGCGAGTCAGTCACATTAGAATTGTAGGAAGTTTCATTGACAACCTAACAGCCAATAGAAAACAAGGTAGCCTATTTATCTATTGGTTAATGTTTATCTGGAACCATCACGTCCACAGTTGATGGATTTTCATTTTTTGCCATCATAATTACAAGGCTGCTGCATCTCTATAATGGTATTTTGAACTTTCATTGATAATTTGAAACAAAAAAATCCTCCTTACAACCTTTAAGGAACTGTTCAAAATAGTCAACCTGTTCACAAACGTCACGTCAGTAAAGGAAGGGTGGGAGAAGGGTGGAGGACAGAGTGGAGGAGTGGTGGAAAGAGAGGGAGGAGACAGGATGAGAACGAGGAGAAAGAGGAAGGGAGGAGAGAAGACGAGAAGAGGAAGGTAAGGTGATGAGACAGGAGGAGAGAGGGAGAGGGTCGGGCGCTAATAAAAGTTTAAAGGAGGCGAGGAGGATAGAGAAGCAGTGACATTCTGCTTTTCTACTGGGGTCAAATAATTCAGCGGGGAAGTGAAAGCGAAGACATGCAGCTGTGAATCTGCCGGGGACATGTCTGGGGCTGACGTCCGCGGAAACGTCATCACAACAAAGCGCAGCGTGCCCTCAGGCCCTCCTATGGATAACTGCACATCACACCAGCAAACAGCAGATGATTTTTTTGTTTCATTTGTACCGAAATGACTACATGATGCTGCCGAATCCTTTGTGAAATTGCCTATGAAATGGCCTAATGTGCAACTCTATTGCCTATTGTGAAAGGCCTGAACAGGGGCTAAAAAGAAAGAGTGGAAATAAAATAAACACGCTGTAAAAGACAAGTTAAAAAGCTTAAAATAGGTGAATAAAAATGCACAACACGATGCAAAAATAGATGAAGGTGTGATGTGAGAAGTGGAGTGGAGTCTGAATAAGTTTTTGAGTTGTAATTTGAAGAGAGGAAAGGAGTTGACTTTGCGGAAAAATAAAATATAAATACAAAAAATAAATAAACGCCGCATCCCGCAAAAGCTGCATCCCGCAAACACCGCGCCCCGCAAACATTGTGTCCCACAAACGCTGCATCTTGCAAGCACTGTGCCCTGCAAAAGCCGTGTGCCCCGCAAACACTGTGTCCCGCAAACACCGTGTCTAACCTAATAATCGTAAACTTAAACCTAACCTTAGTCGTAACTCCTAACCATAGCCCTAGCCTTAAAGGTTGTATAGAGGATTTTTTAAGGGAAGTGAAATACAGCAACAGTCATTTTTCAAATGTTGTGTATGTGTGACACCACCGTCCTCCTCCACAGTTCCCTCAGAAGAAACACCTCCTCCCGCCTCTTTACTCTAGAAATCACGTTTGTTTACATCCAGTGCGCATTCAGAATTACTGTTGAAGTGACCTGTCTAGAAATATTTTAGCGACCGATGCGTCAGTTTTTAGACCTTTTGTCTGCTTCAGTCGCACTATCGCTGGAAGGAATCTCCAAGAGTCACCTCCGTTTGGCTTTGCTCCTTTTCCCCTTCTCTTCTTCTTTCAGCGACCTCAAAAACTGACTTTCTTTTGCGGCGAACGGGTTGTGGATTCTCGTCCGCCATCGCAACAAACTTTGTGCGAATTGCGAGGAAGCGACAGTTTGAAAAAACCTCTAAGAACCGCTGCATAAACCACGTAATCCCCGCGCGCCGGCGTTACAGTAGAAATGTAGGGAGTTTGATTGACAACCTAACAGCCAATAGATAAAGAGGGAGCCTCGTTTTCTATTGGCTGATTTGTTTATCTGGCCTCACTACGTCCACAGTTGATAGATTTTCATTCTTTTTTTTTTTTGGTCATCATAATTACAAGGCTGCTGTGTCTCTGTAATGGTATTTTAAACTTTCAATGACAATTTGAAACAAAAAAAAAATCCTCCATACAACCTTTAACCCTTACCCTCACCCTGCCATTTTTTTTCCAAATTTTTGCATGTGTTTATTAAAAATAAATAAATAAATAATCAAAGATAGCGTACTTCCAGTTTGTAAAGGGGCGTGGTCACAATATCCATTTTTGTTCCCATTGCCATGAGGCGACTGGCTACCAAATTTGGTTTGACTACACCAAAGAACATGTAAAATTAATACATGAAAAATAAATCAAATAATAAATGAATACACAATGAAATAAAATCATGAATGTCTCACCTAGCAGTATGACGATGCAGAGGAGGATGGCGATGAGGGCTCCGGTGCTCAGACCCACAGGGAGGAAGATGGCCTCTGCGCTACAGCTGAGCACCGACCCGTCCGAGCCACACCCACACACTCGGATACTCAGGGTGCCCGTGCTGCTTTTAGGCGGGTACCCGTTGTCCTCGATCACTACGGGCAGCACGTACAGCTCCTGCAACCGCCGCCTGAACCCGCCGCGCTTAGTCACGATACCAGCTGTGTTATCTGCAAGGAAAAAGAACAAAAACAAAAGCATTTATTAAGTGTTTGACCATTTTCAAAGTTCTATATTACACAAAATTGACTAGTGTGTGCTTTAAAGGTGCACTATATTTAACTTTTTGGTGGTCTGTCATCTGCTTAAACAGCTCTACTTTACGTTTCTTTAATTTGGTGGATTTATAACAAACAAACAAAATCTAGAAAAACAAGCATTCTGACTGTGAGTGGAGTCTCCTCTCCACAGATCTGACCTGTGACTTGGTCTAGTTTGGGCTCCATGAAGATTTTAAGTCATGTTATAATGTTGTTTACCTCATCATAAACAGACCTGGAGTTGTGATTTGTTTCTTTCACACATGTTTGAGTTATTTTTTATTATTAATCCATCTATATATCTGTTCTCTGAAACTGTTCTGCAGCACCTTGTGATGTCATGCTGTGGTAAACTGGGAAAAAAAAAAAAAAAACAATATCTAGGTGAGTTAAAATGACTTAAATTAAGAACATTTGACTGTATTTGAGTCGATTCAACTTGACAAGTAAAATTATCTACCAATGGAATAAGTGTTTTTTGTTTTTTTTTCTTAATTCAAGCAACATTTGATTTTGTTTCTTATTTTAAGTGCAAAAAGTTGTTGTTTTTCATATTTTAAGTGAAGCAAGATATTATCAAATTAAGAATTTGCGTGTGATGGGGCAGTCATGTGATTTACTGTTTTGGCGACCACACTAGAGGTCAAGGGTGGGGTTGATCTGAAAGGTGTTTATTCAGTTACTACAATATAATCATGGCTACTTTAAGCAATGCAAACAACATAAAACTGTCTGAAATTGCCACCTCATTGGATCAGCCGTCATTAGAAAGATATAATGTCATCCTCCTGGGTTGTGGAATAAATCCCGATCTGATTCCGACACTCGCTCTGTGCCCAATCTCCAATATCAAGATATTTACAACTACTTAAGTCATTCGACATTGTCCTACACCGACCAAGAACTGAAAAGCTACAAGGGGTTAGAGGCTTATAAATATTTTGTAGCGGAATGTGTGAAATCTCTGTTGATCAACAAGCCGTCAAATCTGTTCCTGATAACAGCCAGGGTAAGTAGAATGCGGGTCAAAATCAGGGGGATTTCGTGTGGACCGCACGGCGCATCTTTCTTATTTTATCGCAAACAAATACTACAGGTTCGTCCAAATAGACAGTTTGACCTCCAATATAGCGGCATAAACAACAGGTCACGTGCTTTTGTGACATACACGCAAAACCTGAATTTTAAGTAAAAAAAAAGTCTTACTCCACTGGAAGATTATTTTACTTGTCAAGTGAAATTTACCTAAATCATGATAAAACTTTCTTAATTCAACTCTTATCTTGACTAGATTTTGTTTTTTGAAGTGTAGTTTTCAAGTTAACAACTCTTTTTTTTGTCAGTAGAGATTGGAAATTCCAAAGCTGAAATTATCCAAATGATTCTAGTGAATGTGCATAGGGTTTAAAAACACAATGGAGCACTTCCTGTATTACTACATACAGTGTTGGGGAGTAACGGTTTACATGTACCGCCGTTACGTAATCAGAGTACAAATTATGAGTAACTGTATTCCGTTACAGTTACTGTTTCAATGAGTGGTAATTGGATTACAGTTACTTTGCTGAAATAAGTGGATTACAAGGCGGTATTTTCCTGTTTTCACATTTTGTGCTACATCCCATTTTTTTTTTTTATTTTGGTAATTCCACTCATTGCCGGAAACCCAAACAGAACGCGCGCAATAAGAGCGATGTAAACGTCATGTTAAAGTTGGCGGTGTCAGTCACACAGTGGAAGCAGCAGTGCATTGGTAAAAACGCATTTGTGTCTTGGAAATTCTTCTCCCGATGTGAGAGATATATATATAAAAAAAAAAAACAAATATAAAATCGCCTACAACTTAAATGTGAAACTGGAGCTACTGGCACCAGTGAAAACAACCTGCATAGACTCATAATATCTGCACTACTGTCCTATAGTGACCTGCCACATGAGGGGACGTGCACACAAATAATATTTTTTAATATGGTGAAGGAAAGACTGATCTTGTTACTGTTTTTTAACAGACAAAACCTCTTATATTAAGATGTCGTGGTCTTTGTTTCTCTACAGCAAACAGTTGCTTATTCATGGAGACTTGGGCTCAGACAATTTGAAGACAACAAACAAGAATTTTCAGGATGTGGTTGCTACATTCATGTCGTTTAAAAAACATGACAATATCAAGTAATCCAAAGTAATCAGATTACGTTACTCACTTTAAGTGATTTAATGGATTACGTTACAAACTACATTTTGGGGTGTGTAATCTGTAATCTGTAGGGGATTACATTTTAAAAGTAACCTTCCCAACACTGACTACATAACATCATAAGGTGGGACAAAGTGTTTGAGAGAAGAACTCAGCCTAAATATGCAGGGTTTGTGTGTTAAACATGAAATGAAACAAAACACAAGTCCATGTTTGGTGACGTGCCACCTCCAGAAAGTTACATACTGGGTTTTTAATCGGCTAAGGTAGAGTATGCAGACTTTTGAAAACTATGATTAAAGCTATAGCTGAAAATTCCACACAAGGAGCGGAGAAAGTTGAAGAGAAAGTTGGGCCGGTTTGATCTGAGCAGGATTCAAAGTGTGTGGACCAAACGAGGAGCTCTCAAACATCACATCAGTCAAACTTCAGAAGGTCCAAAAGTCTGATTCTCTGAAGGGAAAGCGCTCTCTGTTTGATGGAACCAGGTCCAGACTTGTCTAAATGATCAAAGTGTTTCCTCAAAGAGCTCAACATTTACATAAACCACTTTAAAATATCAGACCTACACGAGCAGTTTTGAGTTTGCTTTGAAATTTAAAATAAAAAAAGATTGATAAATGCATAGAATGGAAGCTTTAAGATTGGGGCATTTTACTTCAGTGATCAAACACAACACACTTAGGTCACCGTGTTACCTTTTATTGTTTTGAAAATGCTGTAATCGCAGAAAACAATGTCTTAACATGATTTATAAGTTTCAAATTCATTCTTGATGCTCTCCTCTTGAGTCTCTCCTCCCTTTTGCTGTCCATGCTAAGTCACTCCCCCTTCAGAGCGCCATCCCAACACAATCATCTATTAATCTAAGGAACATATGTCTGCATAACTCTCGAACTGCGTACCCGAACAATCTCAAATTCGGACGGTGTTATACTAATGAGACAGAGGTGTGAAGTGCCAATTTTCATGTTATTAGGACTAAAAATGACAAAGATCTGGTAAAATGAATGATACCGATCTATTAATTCAAGGATCGTCTGTGTGTGTTTCTTTGTTGGTTTGTTTGCTTGTTCCACGCATAACTCTCAAATCACTCATCCGACAAATCTCAAATTTCGAGGGTGTCGTCCTAATGGTACAGGTGTGTGTAGTCCCAATTTTCATGTTGTTAGGACAAAAAATGTCAAAGATCTGGTCAAATGAGTGATATTTATCTATTAATTCAACGAACGTCTTTTCGGTATTTGTTTGTTTTGATGTGTTCCATGCATAACTTTCGAAGCGCTCACTCAACCGATCTCAAATTTGGAGGGTGTCATTCTAATGGGACATGGGTGTGCAGTGCCAATTTTCATGTTGTTAGGACAAAAAATGCCAAAGATCTGATAAAATTAGTGATATCTATTAATTCAAGGAACGTCTGTCCGTGTTTTTGTTTGTTTGACTTTTCCACACATAACTCTCGAACCGCTCATCCGACTGATCTAAAATTCGGAAGGTGTCATCCTAATGGTGCGGGCGTGTGCAGTGCCAATTTTCATGTTGTTAGGACAAAAAATGCCAAAGATTTGGGAAAATGAGTGATATCTATCTATCTATTAATTCAAGGAACTTCTGTTGGTTTGTTTGTTTGTCTGTTCCACGTGTAAATCTCAAACCGCGCATCCGACTGATCTGAAATTTGGAGGGTGTAAATGAAACTACCGCAACATCGCATCGTGGTGTATTGTTTTGTATCACTTTTTTTGTATACTTATGGAGAATTCTCAGGGTTAGATCACTAAATTACTCAAAAAGTGCATGAATGTTATCTAACTCTTCAGACATGTTTTTGAAGGGAAGGGAACAGCGCAGAGTCCTAGTAGTTGCTGAAATGGACGGGTTTTAATGTTGTGGAATTTTACCGGCGGGTATGTGGGCGGGTAGAGATTACACACGCGCGGATAAACGACGAACAGGAGAAAAATACTTGACGGGGGTTTAGGACGTCTATCGTCACGGAAACAAGTGTCATTTTCCGGTCTTTTCCCGGAATGATAGCAGACCAGGTTGACGGAGACTTTAGTGTTTTTATATATAAACCCAACAGCGGAGGTGATCGACTTGCCTGCTGTGCTCCTGGTTTAGTCTAAGGTTTAGTCCTGGTTAAATCCTTGGTTTAGTCCTGGTATAGACCTGATCCAGTCCTGGTGTAGTCCTGGCGATCAGCTCGTGGGTTGCGGCGTGTATATATTTATGCTAATGACACTGGTTCAGTCCTAGTTCAGTCCTGGTTTAGCCCTGGTCCAGTCCTGGTGTAGTCCTGGCGATCGGCTGTGCAGTTGCGGTGTGTAAATATTTATAATCCACTAACGACACAGCGTAGGTTCAGTCCTGGTTCAGTCTTGATTCAGTCGTGGTTCAGTCCTAGTTTAGTCCTGGTCCAGTCATGGTGTAGTGCTGGTTTTGTCCTGGTCCAGTCCTGGTGTAGTCCTGGGGATCGTCTCTGCGATTGCGGCGTGTATATATTTATAATCCTCTAATGACACGGTGTAGATTCAGTCCTGGTTTAGTCCTGGTTTAGCCCTGGTTCAGTCCTGGGCCAGTCCTGGTCCAGTCCTGGTGTAGTCCTGGCGATCGGCTGTGCAGTTGCGGTGTGTATATATTTATAATCCGCTAACGACACAGCGTAGGTTTAGTCCTGGTTCAGTCTTGATTCAGTCGTGGTTCAGTC